GCTTGGAATTAGCAGCGGTGGAATAGTATTTATTAAAATAATTTTTTTTTCATTCATTCATTATGCAGGTAAATTTTATTTAATCGTGAGATCGAGCTGGACGGATCTGATTAGCACATCACATGACAAAAACATGTGAAAATGTCGACAATTAGTGATTACGTCAATACATTGTTTTTTCTATCTTGCTGTTTGGTACCTCCTTAAGAAAACAGAAAAACGGGTTACTTGATGCATTCAGCGTAATTCTGGCCAGCGGACCTCCAGCGAAGATTACCATGCCTTTCGTATCGACATACTGCTGAAGATTTAGAAATTCTTTGTGCACTGTCTGCATGCCTAAAACGATCATAATGTTTCACATATTTGCGGGTATATGCGAGAGATGGTACCATGGTCAGCCAGAATGATTATGTTCAAGCAATTGAAAAGGCCATTCTTGAACAAGCTAGTCATCAGGTAATCAGGCACGTTGTCGACCATTTTTAAGATGTCATTTATCTGAAGAGCAAGTAAGCACGAATGGTTCAAGATGGTGCTTTCCTGTGTTGTTTATGGCTTACATCCTTCGAATTTGGACCATGGTCATGTCCAACCAAATCCGGCTGATTGAAGTACGAGTTGATCACGGATGGCCGGGCCACCTCTTCTAACTTCAACCATTGAATGATTTGGTCTATTTTGTCCGTAAAGCTAGTATTTGGGTTGTATTCAGCAAAATATGATGGATATTTTCCTGAATATCAGTATTCAGCGTAAGTTACACTCATGAGCAAACGTTTACCTTGAATTTGAACCTCAGAACCTGCCCATATGTGTGTCGCGGACTTCATGTTGTTGTTCTGCGCAGTATTCCATATCTAGTCAGAAAATCTGCTCTTATATCACACAAGTTCATCATGCGAACAACAGCATACAGCGATGCAAATGTATACTATGCTATATGTATCCAATGCAGCTTGACTGTTATGTCACTCAGAATCTGAAAATGTTGTCCTTGTTTCAAGTGATAGACTACAATAAGCAAAGATTTCAGCTGCTCCCTTCGAATTGACTGATGAATGACATGATAATGGCCTAAAGAGTTAATATAAACTAAGTATTAAATTATTGCGTCATTATAATATAAGTGGATTTATCAGTGCTCTGTTAGTTGCCTTGCTAACCGAGCGTTTTAGAGCTGTTGCAGGCCTCCAATTTCGTCACGTGGTTCAATAAGTATCAATACATTATTATAACCGCATAGTACCAACGTTCAACTTTTTTCGGCTGTTGCGAGCTGTATACTTCTTGAAGTAAAATTAATGAAACGTACTACATGCGTGACAATCTTGTAATTATCAATTTCCATTTTCAGGCATCTTCCTTGGTAATTAATTTTTCTTCTTATCCCGTTGTACCGAAAAAGACACAGAGTACGTAGAAGCTTACCAGTGGATCGAATAAATGCATGTTCACTCTCAGTGCTTTCGATACCAGACTGGTTCTAACGGCATTTTCGAAGATGTTCCTGACGATCGTCTGCCATCAGTTTTTGCTTTCAGCAATTGCTGTATAAAACGACCATCGATCATTGGTTGGCAGTTGTCCCACCAACCTGGTGTTTTGGTCGCTGCCAGGTCCTTTGCTTTAGTTGGATACTTCAATTCCTCTCGTGCCACGGAATTTGTCACCAGGTCACATAAAGTTTCTCCTAACATCGATAATGAACTCCTTATTTCCGCCCTTCCCGTCCTCTTCTTTGAGCTTCGTCAAGTGCTGTCGTCAGCAAGCCATGGAAAAGAAAGTTCACAATTCAAGTTCTGAATATCCACAGGTTTGTGCTGTTGTGCTTTTATCAACAGATTTGTCCTTCCAGAACTTGAATAACTTGTTATTCGCTGTTAATGCCAACACACAGTGCCTTTTAACTCTGCTTGTCACTCCTCCGTCTGCAGCCAATATACTCCCAAGATGCTTATGTTTCTATTGTTACTTTTTTCACAACCTCGATGTCAAGGATCAGACGGTCTTTAGTCTGGAATTTACCAATCTCCATCCACTTCGCTATTTTTAAGCTGATTGAGAAACTGAGATCAGAACACCTCTGTTTCAGAGTTAGAAACAGTGACGTCACAACTTTGAAGTTGTTGGCAAGCAATACGATATCGTTCCCCAAGGCACAACATTTTATGCAGATGTTGCCAAAGCCAAACCTTGCCACAGCGTCATCATTCCTTCGTTTTGGCTAGAGCACCCAGTCCAGCAACATCGCAAACAGCAGGGGAGACTCCACTACCCCCCACCTTAACTCCAAACTTTGTACGAAGGAATCTTCCAAACTTGCGATCAATTCGCACCCCACTTCACGAAAGATCATATATCTTTTCATTGTGTGAATAATCTTTCGTGGGATTCCACGCTGTTCATCGACTACCCACAAATTACCTACCCAGAATAAGTCAAACTCTCCAGTGAAATCTGCATTCTCCTCTCCTTTCAATTGGTTGCCTTACTTGAATAGCTGGTACAAGCATCCCTTCCTGGTTCTGAATCCAGATTGCTCTTCATCTAAGATCTTCTAAAGAGACTGTCTAACCCTTTCCACATAACACATCTGAACACTTTAGCAGGAACGAATAGTAGTTATTTGGATCTGGGAACAGCCTCTTTCGGACAGTAAGACTACAATACTCTCGTCCTGTCATTAATGATCATCTTTTCCTGTGCTAACAATCCAATGAAATTCATTAATGCCAGCATTCCATTCATTCCAGACTCCTTAATTAGCTCTGGTCGTATTCCATCCATTCTTGTAGTTCCATCATTTTTCAGTTGGGCTCAAAGCATCAATCGCATCGTTAAGAGTCTGCGCTCCAGTGCCTGCTTCGTTCAGGTAAAAAATGATACAATCAATCTTCTTTTGCGATTACATCAGGGTTCAGTAGCAATGCGAACCGCTTTCCTCATATCTCAATGATTTCTGTAGAATGGGACATGATGTTATGGCCCTCTTTCTTAAATTATGTTAGTCAAATTTTTTTCTCGAATTAGTAATGGTCTTTTCTGGAGAAAATCTTCATATTCTTTCCTGTCACATCTTTCGACATTTCAGCCTGCCACTTCCAGAGAAATGTTTTATATTTCCTTCACCATATTTTTATGCATCTCTGTACTACTGTCTGAACCTTTGTCTGTTGTCAGACTTAGCAAGCTGCTTTCTCGTTCTCCTGTCCGGAAGTATTCTAATATTCATAAACTGAATTTTACATTCAGCCGTTATCGTTTTACAAATTCACAATTTTCAGCCTCGCAAATGTCAGTCATCTCGTGCTTATCAACCATACAAATATTCTTATACCGAATATAATCAACTGTGCCACGTTAACACAAGCATGGTAGCAAAATACAATGCTGGTAATATACATGAATTTATTTATCGCGTAAAATTATAACAAACACTTTTGTTACCTTTGACCGCGATATCAATGCGGTTTCACTGCCGTTTATCTAGTTCATCAAGAATATTTAAAACATGGGTTTCAAATTTTCAGCACGTCTATACATTCACTATGAAAGAAAAACCATAAATCAAATGTACTGAAAAAACTAACACACATTGTATCAATTAGATCACATTTCATAGGTCACCGTAAGCCATAACTTTAGTATCTGTTCATTTCTTGATTACATCTTATATATTAATTAATCATCTATGAGGTGTGTCGAACTGCAACTATAAACTCATGCATCAAACAGAATGAAGAAAATATCTTGCAAGCTGTTGCATGATCCCGTTTGAATGCAATGCTGTCCCAGGCCTTGTCCACAATAGCGCAACATCTACGTGGTTATTCGAGTGCCTGGTCAAATAACGCTAAAATTCAGCCTCTCACCGGTTCGCCCTTCCACCAAGCGGGGTCTTTGTAAATGTCACCGGCCATTGAAAACTTTTTTTGCATTTGAGGGTCGTAGAACTTGTTTTCGACGATACCATGTGATTCAGGATACAAGCCCTAAAAAATGTATGTCACTGAATCTTGTTCATTTTATAAAACATTTCTTACCGTCACGATCGCATAATGGTTAGGTATTGTTTTCGAAGGAAAACTTGGATACATAAAAGGAGAGTGCGAACCATGCTCCTTTATTAAATTAATCGCCGCCGTCTTGTGCCTGTCCAAGTAGTAACGCTGAAGTCCATCGAAAGACATGATCAACAATGGATTTTTCGACCATCTTAAACAGTTATTGTCCTTAGAACGTAGCATATCTTAAAGTATTTATGAATATAAATGTATAATAAGGTCATATGATGTGATTGTCTATACTCCCCTTACAGAAATATTTGCCTTTTATCAAGTCAATGAATAATAATGCCTTTGAAATGAATGGACGAAAATAGGCGCAAATTAAATAAGAAATACATAAAAATACGGTTAAGAAAAATAATTGCAACTGTATACAGAGCTTCCCCGCTTAATTTATTAAATTACAACCACACAAGATAATAAGAACCCGCAACATGAAATTCTCAACATTCTCCCATTCTTGACTCTTTCGGTGACAGGTAGCTGACGCTGTTCGGTTTCTTTCCTGATGTTGATAGGTTTACGTCCTTGAAGGAACGAAACGTGCGCCAACCCTCTCTCTTTCTTCGATTAATCTCTGAATTTGTCTTTTTGCCCAGGAGAGACCATTTATTGACATCTTAATCTTCCATGACTCTTTTTCCTTTCGAGTCGCGAGTGCCTTGTCGATCCTGATCTTATTAGCGTTGAATCTACCTGGGCCTTCAGCAGGACATCCGGCTACAGTAGGTTCATCCTTGATTGATCGATTTGCAGTCCAACGTCGGAACTGTTTCTTGCGAGGTCTCGCAGCATGTCTGATAGCAGAGTGACGTTTTCCGCATTTATCTGCGAACGTTATGTGGCTGAGCTGTTAACCTCACCCTTTCAATTCATCCTCCGGAATACCATTTCCAAACAGGCAGCGAAGGGTGTGCACGAGATGGTGACCCCTTTGTTTCACGCCTTGCAGCCCTGGAATCAGGAGGGCTATCGAACAACGAGGTGTTTGCAAAGTAGCCGGAGTTTCCTTCCTTTACGTGGGTCGATGCAGAGGGTGTCGATGCCCCGTTCTGCTAGAGCAATTCACACCGCGTTGTACGGCAAAGTTGAACGCTTTCTCGTACTCGATGAGGGCGATGCACAGAGAGAGCTGGTGCCCTCCGCACGCT